AAAAAAGTGACAATGGTTCACTTGNAATTGGTTGGTAGTTGATATATGTAGTGACTAATTGGACAAAAAAGAGACAATGGTTCACTTGTTAATTTTTGTAGTTTTGGAAATATTTTCACTAATATATCAATGGATCAGGGAAGTTGGTTATGTAGCTGCTCAATATTAGTACTAGTATCTAACTATAACATGTTTGTAGTTTCTAACATGCTAGCAACTTTTAGAACAGAAAGTGACATATTGTCACTTTTTTGTTAAAAAAAAAAGTGACATTACGTCTTTGGTTGTGGTTCATACTGAAAGGCTGAGCGGAGGATGCTGAAAACTGATCGATTGATTAATTAACAATGCTTATAGCTGTGGATACAATGTCAATGAAGTATGATATCCACTGTCACATAAACATACAAACAACAAACCATTTTTTAAGAAATTCATCTTCATCAAAATCCATCCAAAGTGACATACATAATAAATTTCAGAATTGACAGTTTGCTTAGAATATTTGAATTGAAAAATATTCTAAAACAAAAAATATCAAATAATCTTGTTTTATATGTCTTCCAACTTCCCCTTTTTTTTTTGTGATTTCTTTTTCACATTTGTTGGATTTTGACATGATCTACGATTGTGGCCATTATTACCACATCTTCCACATTTTGCACTTTGAATTTTCTCTCGTTTTGATGGTATCCTTTTTTCTTTAGGTCTTCCAGATTTTCTTTTTGGATTAGGAATCAAGACTACTCTTGCTTTTACCTCATTCGGTACATTCCAATCATTGTGATCTCCAAATGAAAAAATTGTTCCACTACAAGTTTGAATATACATATTTGTTGTATAATATGCTGAACAATATGAATCTCCCTTTATTTTTGCAACAACCGCAAGTGCGTGTGCACACGAAATCTTGTCTACTTGGAATTGATTGCATGTGCATGTTCTTCCTTCCATATTCAACAAATATGTGACACAATCATCATTAACTTGGTACAATATTGAACTTGAAGTTGATACCTGTGTGAATAATACAACAAAATACTATTATCAATAAATTTGTCACTATTTTATATTAAAAGAATATTTACAGTGAAAACATGTTACAATAGAAATTCCGACATAAAATAACAACAAAACAACATATTTATAGCTTTGTACATTCATTTTCTTTGACTCCAAACACTCTTCTCTCAATTTTTTCTCTTGTTTGGTAGCAAGTGTTGTGAAAGTTGCCTCTGCATCATTTTTATGCTTCACAAACCATTGTTATAACAAGTGTCTTAACGATTCCAATAAAAGTTCTACTGAACAACCTTTTGTTGCTTTTGTTACCGAATTTACTGATTGTAGAGAAATTGTTGCTTGTTATGTAGGCCCTTGACCATTTCTCATAACCAATATTTTTCTATACAAAGAAGATTCAAAATATTAATATTTATTCAACCAAAAAAGTGACTATCTATCACTTAAACTCACTTTTAACAAAAAAGTGACAGAATCTGACTTTTTGTTTTATCAACACTTACAAATTTTTTAAACAAAAGTGACATCATGTTATTTTTAACAAAAAAGTGACATTCTATACTCTTTGTTTAAAAAGTGATATCGATCATAGAAGTTAACAATGATAACATACCAAATGTGATCAAATTCCTGTATTGATTTTATCAAGTTGTTTCATATGGAACTCAAAATCATTCTTAGAATATGCTCTTCAGCCCTGTTGAAATGTTCTGCAATATTCTTTCCCTTTTTCTTCCCATCAAAAGACGACTTTAAGTTCTTTAACAAGTGATATGAATATAGACCATGCATTGCATTCTTATACACTTTGCAAATTACATTTTTTAAGCTTGTATGTCCATCTGAGATTATACACAATCCTTCACGCTCACCATAAGCTTCTTTTAACATAATTAAGAACCACTCCCATGAATCGTTAATTTCTAAATCACCAATTCCAAATACTAATATGAAGATATTGTTATTGGCATCTTACGTACATGCAGTGAAAAGTGTTCCGCCATAGTTGTCTTTTAAGAATGTAGCATCTATTACTATAACTGGTCTACAATATTTTCACCCTTGAGTAGATGCTCCTAATGCCATGAAGAGGCACTTGAATTTGTTGTCCTCATATGTCTCTATTTTTGTAATTGATCTGAGATTTGTTTGTTCTATCATGTACAAGTATTCCAGAAGCTTTTCATATGAATATGTGTGATCTCCTCTCACCAATTCCAATGCTTTCTCCTTAGATCTCCAAGCTTTCTCATAACTCATTGACACTCCATATGTATTCATCATGTCACTTATAATGTCCGCAGGAGTGCATGTTGTTTTTGTTGAGATATATTTGTATATGATGAATTCTCCTACTATTGAGCTGGTTGCTTGACGATGATCTTCTAAAATGATGTTATTTGAACATATATGACCATTTTTAATATACCTTACCTTGAACAAATCCGTTCCACAAGTTTTGAAACTCTAAAAGTCCATTTGCACTTCCCGTCAATACACTTCAACACATATTCTTTCTTGTCCGACTAACTTACTTTGAATTGAAAGTTACCGTGTATCGCATGTATTGAAATACTTCTCTTAACCAATGTCTTGTCCCTGAACACTTTATCTTTTGTAATTCCATCCATAGTGACTACTGAAATGATATCACTTCCTCCTTCATTCGTCTTTTCGTCAACTCCCGATATTCTATTATAGACATCAACAATAATTTCTTCCATACTAGCTATATTCTGAATTGATGTAACAGAATTATCAGATACAACTTCACAAAATTGCAGTTGTATCATATCATTTTTTTTTTAAAATCAGCAGCCTCCAAACATTGTATATCATTAAAAAATTCAGTTTCGTGACTTTTTAATACCGTTGTCACATCCACACACAATGGAAAACTTGTAAGATCTTAATCCTTCATCTTGAGCTCCAAATAAAATGTTAGAGAAATATCATCTGAAATCTCCGTTAAAGGTAGGTTTTTCTTCACCTTATATTGCATTTTTATTCTGTGTTGATGCACTTAGTTTTATCACAAAAAATATCATGCACTCAAGGTTGTTGCACGTGCAACCCATTGGTACAACAATTTCAATCATTTTCTCACTTGTATATTCATTATCTTGTGTCCATTTGCTTCCATAACAAATGAAGACATTAATTTTATCCATATCTACAATAAGATTACAAAGAAATTGTATGAGTTTTTTTTTTTTAAAGTAACAGAGTAATATGTATCAGTTAATGAGATACTAAAACTTTTTTTTGAGAAAAAGTGACAGAAATATAAAAGTGACGGAGTTCACACTCTCATTGAGCAAACACCTTGCATGCATGAATGTAATTGATTTAAAGTTTTCTTTTTCATACGTATTAACATAAAACAGGGCTAAAAAGGGTAGCAAACACCTTATTCGTACTTCAAATTTCCAAAACTTACACGCATGGTGTCTCTTTTTGAGAAAAGTGACAAAACGTCACTTTTTTATAGAAAAGTGGCAGAATTCACATTATTGTTTTGTCAAACACCTTACATGCATAAATGATTTAACAGATTTAAAGCTATTTTTTTTTCATATGTATTGACACAATCAATTCTCTCTGAAATTCAATAATATGATTTTCAAATATGTTTCCAAACACAATAACAAATGGTTAAAGGGTCATAAGACTGGGGAGGGCGTGTAACTTTTTTTGAGAAAAGTGACAGAATGTCATTTTTCATGTAAAAGTGACAAAACGTCACTTTTTCATAGAAAAAGTGGCAGAATTCACATTATCCTTTTGCCAAATACCTTACTTGCATCAATGATTTAACGAATTCAAAACTATTTTTTCATATGTATTGACACAATCTATTTACACTATAAGGTTTAAACTAAACCTAATCACGAAATCCAAATAAAATTGGGGAACTAATGCATTTTCATCTTAAAATCCTTGGCTAATAAAACCTTAAAATTCAGCTTCTTGACAGATGATTCTAACTTGCTCATGATCATAAAAGCTGAACATTTGGACGTAAAAAGAGATCCTGATTTCCTCCTCCCCTCAAACAAACTCGACAAATCGAACCTCGATGACATCGATAATATAATAATTGAACAAGGAGTCAAAAAAAAAAAAAAAAACCTGTTTTTCTTTGGTTTGAAAGCAATCAATTTGTGGATGATTTCTCGATTTTTTCCCAAGTTTCAAATAATGAACGAATTTGTGGATGATTTCCTATTTCTCCTTTATATTTTCCCTTGTTTTTTTTTCCAATTTGGAGGCTGGTTTCTTTGATGCCGCAATCTTCTATGTTTGAGCGTATTTCTTACGTTAATATTTACTTAAGTACCACATAATCCAAGTTTATCATGTTTTTTCAAAATTGCCCCAAAATATAGGATATTTGTGTAAGTACCCCTTAATTTAATCAGGCTGCTTCAAATGGTCCAAGTAGATTATATGATTGGTTTAGACGATTGTTGTATCGATATACAATCTCGGGAGTCATTTGACAACAATTTACCTAACACTTTGGATGTTCTCTGTAACATCAATGAACCTACGGATGCTTAATACATCCAACAGAACTCGAGTTGCAGGTATACTAATATTTTTGCGGATATACTCATAATTTGAATCTCAATCCAGACGAGGGATTAATCCACAATATAAGAAAAACACAAATGAAAAGCTCTCTTAAGGATATGCAAAAAGCTCCATTCTTCACATTTGCAGAGTTTGTACAGCAACATTACAGTAGAATGATAGACCTATAAATATATCCATTGCCAAAGAAGATAGATAATCTAAAGCTGAAAAAAAAGTCCAATCTTACAAGAGAACGACATATCCATTGCTAAATACGATAAAAAGAAAACAAACTACGACAAACTAAGCTTTATTCCCAATATACTTAGGTCAGCTACATGAATCCTTGTGCATCATTCTGATCCATTCATTTTCTACAAGGAAACCTTTTCAAGTTTTCAACAGGCGTTTGGAGATCTTATAATGAGAGGTTCTGCATCAATAAGCATTTTGACGACTTCTTTCATATTCGGTCGAAGATTTGGAAGTTTGGTTGTGCATAGTGCAGCAATCTCCAAGAACTTAATCATATCTCCCTTGACAAAATCAGAAACCACCTTAGGATCAAGAACTTTAACAATGTTGTCTTGGTCATTTAAATGAGTCGAAACCCAGTAAACGATATCCTTTCCTTCACCATAAACCTCCTCGATTGGCCTTCTACCTGTCACTAATTCCAACAGAACCACTCCAAAACTGTATATGTCACTCTTTTCAGTGACCTTGAAGGAATATGCCAACTCTGCAGAGAAATGTCAGTTAAAACCAAAAAAAATAGCTTTTAAATATCAAGATCACTAGTCATGATGGATTTGAGAGATTAACAAATTTAAATTAATGCGGAATGATTTTAGGTGAAAGATCATAAGTAGTGAATAGTTTCAAGTATCTTAAAACTAACCAGGAGCAATATATCCATGAGTTCCTGCGAAACAACTGCATTCAGATGCTCTAGGAGAAACTTCTGCAATCTTTGCAACACCAAAATCAGCAATCTTGGCTTCATAATCCTCACCTAGTAATATATTTGTTGATTTGATATCCCTATGAATAATTGGTGGGGAGCAATCATGGTGTAGGTAGGCTATTCCTTTAGCAGCACCCAATGCGATTTTGTACCTCTGGTACCAGTCAAGTTCCGGTCTTCCCATCTTAATTTCTCGATGAAGGGCCTGAAACAGGTTTCCGTTTTCCATGTACTCGAACACCAAAAAATTTGAACCTCCTTTCATTAGACAAGCATATAGCTTTAAAATATTCCGATGCCTAATCTTTCCAAGAATTTCCATTTCAGCTGCGAAGAGTTTCACGTTGTTTCCCTTCCATAGCTGCTTCACAGCTACTGTACCACAACCTTTCTTCAGATCTAGGCGATAAACTTTTCCAGTGCCTCCACTGCCAATCAAATTATCCTCATCCAGACCACTTATCTCATTCACATCAAATTCCACGTGGTGGAAGCTCTTGAGCTTCCATTTCGGACGTATTCCCTTTTCTTCTTCCGGGTGCTCTTCTGCATCAATTCGACTTTGCTTGAAGTTCAAGTAACTCACGAGCAGTAAACCACCTAAAATAACAACCAGAGCAAGCAATATAACACAGAATAAAACTAATTTACTTTTGCCGAAGTCTTTGTGACTTTTCTTTCCATTGCAAAGACCTAACCCTGAGTTCATTGATCTTTTGATGCTTTCATCGACACAAAGTCCTTTGTTTCCAACAAATGCCTTGTCACCTGCCACTGTCAGAAAATCAGAAGGAACACTTCCCGATAGCTGGTTATTTGACAGATCAACTGAAGACAGCTTCAACTTATCCAATTTATTTGGAATTGATCCTGTGAGTCTGTTTCTTGAAAGATTCATAGAGTTTAGAGTGACCATTGTTGAGAAAGTATTGGGAATGCTACCAGTCAGAAAATTTGAAGCGAGATTTAACTCCACAAGTCGAGTACATTCTGCTAGTTCGGCCGGTATCGATCCAGTTAGAGCATTTCCTTCCAAATGCAAAGATGATATCTGTTTTAGAGCACCAAGCTCTAACGGAATTCTGCCAGAAAAGTTGTTATTATCCAAGTATAGCCGTTCCAATTGCACGAGTTTTCCAAGTTCTTTTGGGAGATCTCCTGAAAATCTATTGTTTGACAGCACTAGCCCTTGCAAATTCAGAGAAGCCCCAATTCGCGGAGATACACTGCCAGTGAAATCATTATGACTGAAATCCATCATATTCACATTAGGAAGCTCCCATACGCCATCAGGAATACTTCCAGTCAGCTGGTTCTGACTGATTCTCAACCGTTCCAAAGGAAAACATTCTGCATAAGTATCTGGGAAGCTCCCGGAAAACTTGTTTTCCAAAGCGAGCAATTTCTGTAAATTCTTGTTCTGGCACAAATATTTCGGGAATCCACCAGAAAAATTATTTTCAGATATGTCAACACTGTTTAATGGGGAAAAGCGGCCAAGATTGGGCGGCAGTTCTCCAGAAAAACTGTTCATGTATATAGAAAAGGCATTGAGTTGCTGCATATCACCAAATGCTGATGGGATTTCTCCAGAGAAATTGTTCTTGAATAAGTGAAACACCGTTAATTTCTTCAGATTGCCAATTTCTTGAGGAATTTCACCGTACATTTGGTTTGCAGATATATCAATTTCTTGTAAAAGAGTGAGCTTTCCAAGTTCTCGTGGAATTTCACCTGTCAAATTGTTCTGATAAAGCTCAATTTTCCACAATTTTTTTAGCTTGCCAATGGACTTTGGGATGTTTCCAGTAATCTTATTCATGCAAATATCCAATGTCCCCAATGCCTCCAGTTCAAAAATAGATTCCGGGATTTCCCCCCGCAAGTTTGATCCAGCCAGGTAAAGCCAGTACAAGCTTTTCAAATTACCTAGGCTATCTGGAATTTCTCCCTCGACGTAGTCATTGTCCCCAAGGCCTAATGAAACCAAACGAGTCAAATTTCCAACCCAAGCTGGGAATTCACCGGAGAAATAGTTATCCGAGAGATCAAAAATCTCCAAGTTGATCAAATTGGACAAATCAGGAAGGCTGCCATTCATATTGTTAACAGATACATTCAAAACCTTGAGATTGGTGCATTTGCTCAGTTCCTTCGGAAGAATTCCCGATATATGGTTTGAAGGTAGAACTAAAGAAGTGAGGTTTTGAAGTACAGAAAGTGATGGGGATATTACACCAGAAAGAGACTTGTTATTAAGTGAAATATGAGTGACTAATCCAGTTTTTCCATCACATGTAATGCCATTAAATTGGCAAGGAGAATCTGAATCTTTCCATGAATCTAAGTAATTCAAAGGATCATTAAGCTGCTTTTTAAATTCAAGTAGGGCCTGACTTTCTACTGGCAAGCACATGAATGGCTGGACATGGAATAAGAAAATTAATATAAAAATAAAAAATTGAAGAAGAGGAGGTTTTGGTTGGCAGGCCATTGAAAGTATTGGAAGTGGCAAAAGAGTCATTTGACAAGGGTAAGACAAAGCCAGTGAAGGCCTCCATTATTGCCATGGGTCTCCATCCTTTGGGAGCTGAAAACAAACAGTATCAAACACAAACTCAGCACCTAATAAATGGAAACAAATAACTAAAATATACTATTAGTTTTACTGCTAAAAAATAAATCATTATGAATATGGTACTTAATTTGTGTTTGACAAAAGCATATACTGCTTTAGCAATACCATTTTCTTATCATATTCGTAACAACAACAACAATTTAAGCCTTGTCCCTGTAAATTTCCTACTTGGTTAACATAATCTCACTGTAAAAAAGAATTACATTAAGTTCTAAACACCTTCATCATCTCTAAAAGTGTTGAGTTATAAGACTGATGTTAAGATGAAAAATTGTATTTAGTTGGGGATTAAAATTGTGAGACAAGTCTCCCTTTTGAGTTTGAAAAAAGCAAGATACTTTTCACCAAAAGAACAACGCTTTTAAATCATTAAACTTGTTTGATATTATTAGTCTTAGGAAGAAAATCAAGACAAAATAAGCTACTTTTGAACAGATACACATGAGAATAGTGAATTTTACTCATTTTTATGCACTATCATTCTCTATATAACCCAGAAAAACATACAAGTAAAAACAAATAAAACTGAAAGAAATGTTACCTGTAATTCTGATGATTGTAAAATTGTTATGCTAATTACGAAAAAGAACTGTCCATTCTAAGCAGAATCAATGAAAAATGATACCAAGAAATCTGAGTGGAATTCTTGGGATTTGAGGAGATAATTATTTGTCTATAATGGGATTTTTAATGGGGGAAGTTTCAAGTGGAAGAAAAAGAGAAGAGACAAAGCAAGGCCAGAATGAGAGAAGATAAGAAGATGAATTATGTATATTTATCTGAGATCAACTCTGTTGATGAAGGAGAAAAATGATAAAAATATGGTCAAGGAAAACAGTCCGTGATAAAAATCCAGAACTGCCAAAAAGCTTTTACGCGATAATGATTTTTCTTTTGATTAGTGAATGAAATGGAAGGAGTATGCGTATACGTGGGGGACAGCACAACCAAATATATGTGTATATACAATTTAACATTAATTGTGAACATTGTATCCATCCTCATCGGATTTCATAGACATGTCTTATCATTTATCAAGAATTGTAGGAGTGTCTGAAAAATAGTATTAGCCACTCAGTGATTTGTCTTGTTATATTGCTTATTTTTAAAGTCAAGAGTCCATCTTGAGGGACTTTTTAGCAAGATTTATCGCTCGCCATATCGCAAGAATTTTAACGTTATAAAAAATATAAATCACATGCCGATAATCCATCCATATATTCATGTAAATAGTCTGCAATGCCTCTCAAGTGTAAAATGAATTCATCTTTTGCTCAATTTGGCGATGCACAATTTTCATACATAGATGACCGTCAAGTTTTAATAACACATTTTGTTTTTAATCTTATTTAAAACTTAAAATTGTTACAGAAAAATTGCTCAAATAATTATCTTCAAAAGTTAATGGAGTTCAATTTCTTTCCCAATTCAACCATTATCGCTGAGTGGTGGATGCAGAATGCAGTGGCTCCACTGCCCATTGCCTGAGGTCCACACCAATTATTGATATTGCTCGAACCAATGCCAATAACGTTAAAAAGTTGAGCTGGCTCTTTCTCACCAAGAGGGCCTAATTAAAATATACTTGTCTTATATAATAATAGTTATGTCGACGCGACTTGACTCTATTTAAAAGACGGTCAAAGAAACTGTTTTAAATAGCGAAATTTTTAAAAAAAATTATGCGGGAAATATAAAACTCGAGATTTAATGTGTAATGCTATTTATCTTCACTGAGGTTACAAACACAGTATATGTGACGTTAATGTAACATTAAATGATATGTGAAATTAAATAAGTCATTTAATTACGCATTTCATTTAACCTATCATTTAAAGTCACCTAAACTGTATTTGTAAAAACTCATTTAAAGTCATTTAACCTATCATTTAACCTATCATTTCAAAAACTCATTTTTCTACTAAAATGGGTGTCAAACACCCCATATATTTCACAATAAAAGGGAAAAATGGGAGTGGTTAGCAATGACCACATCATTCTTTTTAAGATTCCTCAAAAAGTGCTTAGGTTAGACTTTAGGGTTCATAATAATGCAGGACTTCAATTCAAAATTTTGTAATTAGATATCTGAAGTGCATCAATTGTTTGTTCACATGCATAACAAGACTACAATTACCTTAATCTAAAATATTTACAAAAAATTATCTATTTAATTTAGGGAATTATAAATTGAAATTATACTTATTTAAGTTGTATAAGTAAAATTGTCGAAATCAATATTTTTTCTAGAATAAAGGAACGAAGCACTCATTCATTTTATGTATTGTTTACGACACTTACATATATTACATATTTGAATATTTGTTTCTAAGTGATGTATACAATATCCCATATTAAAACTCAAATGGACGTGTAAAAAAAAAAGAATAAATTAATTTAGAGAGTATAAATTGACAAGGATATTAGCATAGATTCCCCATCGCAATAAGAAGAAGTTAATTTAGTAAAATTTGGACAACCTTTTAAATTAATACGTCAAAATCAGTCTTTTGTCGGTCTCCTAACCTATTCTATGGTTCTATATGCTTTGTGTGAATTGAATTGACCCATTACCTAACTTCATCATTCTTTCATATGGGATTATATAATTATTAATTTTGTATTAAACTAGCTTTCCTTTCATTTCTTGTTTATTGTTAATTTTATAGGGTTTAATATTCTTAATATATTTTTTTAATTCAACGGGATTATTAATCTAGACAGACGGACATGAGTAATCACAAACATGCACCATTCATTGTTGACGTTACATCAATTTTGTGCGATAAACAAGTAATAACGTGTTCGACTATGAGACAGCTAGTGAAAATTATTAACGAACTCGCAACTTATTTGGGAGATCAGTATCGACAATTGACCAAACTAAATAAAATAAAAATGTGCAAGAGGATGATCTACTTCGGACCTTGTGCCGACACGACTTGAATTGCATGTTAAATTCGAATCTATCATTGCTCCTCATAGATGGACTCACATGTTCATGAATTAAATCACGACAACGTCAATACGCCTTTCATAAAAGAAATAAATCAAGCACCAAATTACTAAAAAAAAAAAAAAGAGGGGAGAAAGAAAATGAATAATATAATTTAACAATCAAACAATTAAAAATTGAAGTTGTTGATTCCTTAATAATTTCTTACTTTATGTATGATGACTCAAATATGTCAAAGAAACAAGGAAAATCTTGAGAGTTAGCATAAAATCTTGGTTGATGCAAGGACTGACTAGGACGCATTGGGTTTAATGATATTACATTTTAATTGATTATATTATATAATTGTTGTCTGAATTTAGAATAATTTATCGAGAACTGGCTATGAGGATCTTTGTCTATGAAATTACATCCAATAAGGTTTTAAGAATGAATTGATTTACTCCAAAAATGAGTTGAATGCAAGCAAATTCTTAAACAAGTAACGTTTCTATAGATTCGAGACTAACTTCAAGAACATTCAAAAATAAGTTAAAATATTGTATGTAATGTATTATAAGCATGTAAATTACTTGTAAAGATGAGATGTAAGACAAATTGGATGAATACATGATCATAATTTTTATTTATTTTTACACTTACGTTTAATCTTTTTTATCACATTAATCTTTCGTTAATTAGCATATCTTGTCACTGATAATGATTCTCGTACAAAAATTATAGTAAAAAAAAAGACTTATTTGTCTCCCATACTTTTAAAATATTGGCGGAAGTGAACGATGCAAACGAATAAAAGGCACTATAAAAATAAGAATACAACTAACCCAACCCAAGTAGTCAAGACACAAGTAGCGAACGTAACTAGATTGTGGGTCATTTTATTTCCATTACGAGAAACAAAGTCGTTGAATCCAACTTCCTGAAGATGAACTACAATATCTAAATAGTGTAGGATTTATATTCTTGTAGCACAATATGAGGGTCCTTAGAATTATGTACAAAGATTAATTTGCAGCCAAGAAAAATAAGAATTATGGCTAAGGACATCTTTAAATATATCTATGGTGGTACTATTTATGTGAAAAGTTACAATTATTATTACATTATACGTAACGTGAAAGCATACCAACTAATTAAAAACAATTTCAACACCAAATTTTGTTTTTGTCTTCTTCCATTAGACAGCTAACACGAATCTATTTGTGTTTTTAACTTAGAATCAATTTTTGAGCTACAATACAAATAAGCATGAAAACTTTTACACACCAAAAGCATTCCAAAGTGAGAGAGAGTTTACAAACTATAAAAACAATATTTACACTAAGGGCCTGTTTGGTACATTTTTCATTTTCTACAGTAAATCAATTCTCATTTTCAATCACACATTTTTCAATAAAATAATATTTTCCATCACATCAATACTTTTTTTTTTCTTTTTCAACCACACATTTCCCATCATATCACTATTCAAAAATCAATTATTCCCCCAAAAATCCTTACCAAACACACTCTAAATTAAGTAAAAAATTCGCTCAATTAAACCATTTTCAAGCAAGTTCGAAAGTCTAGATAAACATGTAAAATGCATTTATCAAAATCACTCGAGATAGTAGGAATAAAGTCCCATATCCATTGGTAATAAGGATGATCACGAGTTTAAAAAGTGAGTTGTTCCTCTCTATATGCTAACCTTAATTAGAAACTACAAACCTCAACACGGTATCAAAACAATGCTCATCGTTTGACCCTTGAGGATACTTCGTTTGAGGAGAATTTCTTGAGAAGTTGCAAACAAAAGTCCTACTTGAGCTAGACATGCATATCATCTAGAACTTATAAGGAAATTGAACTAACCCTCTTGAAGGTTTAATTTTTTAATGAACTCCAAATCTCAAATAAGTGAATAATTTGTTGACACAAATATTAAAGGTGAGATACATGCTAATAATATATACACAAGTATATTTCAATATTTCGACACATGCTTATATTTGAAGTTTGTAGTAATTTTACAAAAAAAAAAAAAGGGCATAAAATTTTTCACGACACCCACAAATCACTTGTTTTTATATCTGCCTAATATGCTTAGAGCATCTCTCAGAGATTCTATAAACATAATATGTTTTCTATTTTAAAGAGTCAACTTTTAAAATTATGCTTTATATCAACATTCAATTTAGAAACTCTCTAAAATTAAATGTTAACTTTGTCTCCACTATCGGAAGGCACGCCTTGTGCTGGTCATTTTCTACAGTAGTAGTCAAAGATCATTTGATATTATGATGGCCAAATATAAGATATACAAATTGACTCAATATCAAATGGATTTTTCACGATGGTTTCTTTTCTTCTGTATTTTTCTTGTTTTGCAATTCATATTTTACATTTTAGTGCATTTATTGATGAAATAACTTGATGTATTTGTATCAATTTAGAGAGATGGGACTTCTGCAAAATAAGTAGCTCGGTTAGTCTTGCAAGGTGGTCAAGAGTAAATGCTCGGAGTTGTCTAAATGTTTGTGTAATTGACATAAACACCAATATTGGATGGCTTACAAGTCTCGAGATCACTTATTTGGCTCACCACTAATAAATGACTAGTAGTTCCACTACTAAAAAAATAGTTTTTTACCGACGGATAATTACCGGTGGATTGCATCCATTGGTAATCAGATTATTTGTTGGTAAAAGTAATCCACTTTTAACTACGGTGACTAGTATTTTGAAGTTATTCGATTGATGAAGTGGAACGGTAACATATGTTAACGTGTCAATATTTATGTTATTCTTTGTAATAACAATTGATAACATTGAATGACTAGCACTTTGAATTTATTTGAAGAGTAACATGTGTTAACACGTCAATATTCATATTATTCTCCATAATAACAGCTAACACCTATACCTTTAAATTATCGTGGCTAACTTCTAAATACAATCTAGCTAGTATCATATCGAGCTCGTTAATTGAAACTACTCTCATATCACGTTATATAAATACTTTTAGTTATGATCTTAGTGGATTTCACGAGTTAATATAATGGACGAAAGCTCAGCTCGACTATTTATCACATAATATGACCGTATTTAGTGCTTGTTTGGTATAGATTTTTAGGGGAAGAATTGATTTTTAAATAGTGATACGANGAGATTTTTAGGGGAAGAATTGATTTTTGAATAGTGATATGATGGGAAATGTGTGGTTGAAAAAGAAGAAAAAATTATTGATGTGATGAAAAATATTATTTTATTGAAAAATGTGTAGTTGAAAATGAGAATTGATTTACTCTAGAATTTGAGAATAAAAAACAAACATGCCCTTAATGCTTATCCTACTTCGTATCCATCCTTAAATTAGAAAATTATTGTTGTAGATGTCTTATATATGACAAATGAAATCAAGGAGTCGGCAGGAAATGACCATTAGTGAGTCCCGCATCTTTGCTTGTGTTTTCATCAAAGAGGTCCAAAGAACTATTGTTAGTCAACTGATTAATCAGTTGAGTAAAATCTCAAAACCCACGTGGGACTTTGTTTCTTTTTTGAAAAATATACATAGGCGATGGAATTATCACAAAATGCGTCGGTCAAGCTTACGGTACGAGATATAGCACTTCTAGTAGATTTCTCTTAACGTACACAAGTTTCAAGTCTAAAGTATTGAGCAAAACCCGATCTCAGTATTGACTCGAGCTCGAAAATCAAGAAATGTAAAATTTGAGCACTCGTTTAACGTGGAATGAGAAGTAGCAATTTATTATCCTTCTCAACACATAAGACGTTTGAATTAGGAGTTGACTGAATTTTTTTCTTAGATCGAACTAATATATATATATATAGAAAATTTTCACATAATGTTTTTTACATGCAAAAATGTAATTGGGCTTGGGTTGCCCTGTATCACCACCACCTGGCCCGATTCATGTCCAAGCCCAGACCATTTCACATGGTTCAAATTATTTTTTAAAATAGAAAATTTCATATTTAAAAGATTAAGCATGACCCTTTTAACATTAATTAAATTTTATTTAAGAAAAAATTAATAAAAGATATTTTTTATTAATTAAATATATTAATGTCATAATTCTACGTTACGAACCATGGAATTGGCTAGCAACAGATGAACACATCTCATTTTTCAATTCCTTAGTTGTCCTCACGAAGTTCAAATATCATCTTTAGAATTGTTTTAACTGACAAAACTTGAAAAAAATTGTATTCTTATGCTTCAAAAATTTGAAATGGTAAAAGTTCTTGTCGGGTTATATTAGTTAATTTACATTTTTATCCTTTTCTCCTCTTACATTTACACACACTCGTCACCCCCTCGCCAGTACTATGAATACGAAGGTCATAATAGTCATTTTAGATCTTTGCAATTTCCTACGCACTAGAAATCCGATTCAATTAGGGCAAAAAATCGAAACCTCAAAAATTTTCTAATCTCAATGACCCTCAAAAGTTCCAAAAATTACGTCTTCAACTCCATCTTCCGTCCATCCAAATACTATATATATCAATCTGTATAATTACAATTTGTATTTGAAGACCCTTTGCAAATTCAGAGCATATCAGTTTCACATAAGGTACGCGAATGTTTGATCCCAATTTGATGCCCAACTTGAATAGACGCCGCCGTGCTGAAATTCAGGTACTGAGCTAAATTTATTTATCCTGCTTGTGGGTTTTTGTATATGATTCTATTTACATTCAGATCGGCGTAACTAGTAATATGAATTTCAAGTATTGTAGTTATATGTGTTTTCGCATTTCATCAATTTGGTTTTTTGATTTGCAGATACCCTCTCGGAAATTCTGGATTCATTTGTATATAATTCTCTCTGGGTACTTTTGCGATTTGAGGTAATTTGGACGTGGGGTAGGGGGGGGGGGTGATTTTGGCTAGGTGGGTGCACATTGGGAAGTTCCATTTTTTGATGCAATTTGGAATTTGTCAGCGAAAAATTCCATTTTTTTAATTCTTTTTTGAAGATTAAACAATGATGGATTTTGCTTTCGACATGGTTGAAGTTGTGTCTACTGTATGAGTATATGAAAAATAATGGATGGTCATACATTGATCTCGGTTTTGAATGCAAATGCTAGTGTTACTTTGGCAAGCCGTACTTTTTTGATTGGAGAAGATGTATCAGCAGTGTCCAATGAGAATGCAGGTATTGCATTGGCAAACCATACATTGTCGATTGGGCAGGAGTTCCCAGATGTCGACACTTGTAGGAGGACATTAAAAGATATAGCTATTGCTATGCATTTTGAGATTAGGATAGTAAAATCCGATAGGAGTAGGTTCATAGCCAAGTGCTCCAAAGACGGTTGTCCATGGCGTGTCCATGTGGCTAAATGCCCTGGAGTTTCCACATTTACCATTAGGACACTTCATGGGGAGCACACATGCGAAGGTGTTCAGAACCTCCACCATCAGCAGGCATCTGTGGGTTGGGTTGCACGGTCCGTGGAAACACGCATTAGGGATAATCTGCAGTATAAGCCAAAGGAGATTTTGCAAGACATTCGGGATCAACATGGGGTTGCCTTGTCTTATATGCAGGCATGGAGGGGAAAGGAGCGTAGTATGGCTGCACTGCATGGGACTTATGAGGAAGGATATAACCTTCTTCCTGCGTATTGTGAACAGATAAGGAAGACTAATCCTGGTAGCATTGCCTCAGTTGTTGCCACTGGACAAGATAATTGCTTTCAGCGACTTTTTATTTCATATCGTGCTGCAATTTATGGGTTCATAAATGCTTGTCGGCCACTTTTGGAACTGGAGAGGGTTCATCTCAAAGGAAAGTACCTGGGAACGTTGCTTTGTGTTGCTGCTGTTGATGCTGATGATGCGCTGTTTCCATTGGCCATAGCTGCTGTTGATGTGGAGAGCGATGAGAATTGGATGTGGTTCATGTCAGAGCTGCGGAAGCTTCTTGGAGTAAATACTGACAGTATGCCTAGACTCACTATTATTTCTGAGAGAACGATCGGTATGGTGGAAGCAGTCGAGACACATTTCCCTAATGCATTTCATGGTTTCTGTCTACGATACATCAGTGAGAATTTTCGGGATACATTTAAGAACTCAAAGCTGGTAAATATATTTTGGAATGCTGTTTATGCACTTACATCAGCTGAATTTGAAAGTAAGATCTCTGAGATGGTTCAGATTTCACAAGATATTCTTCCGTGGTTTGACCATTTCAACCCCCAGCTGTGGGCTGTGGCATACTTTGAGGGGGTTCGTTATGGTCATTTTACATTGGGGATCACAGAATTTTTGTATAATTGGGTATTGGAATGCCACGAGCTTCCTATCGTACAAATGATGGAGCATATCCGCCATCAATTAACGTCATGGTTCATTGATCGCAGAAATATGAGCATGAGAATGACTTCAATACTTGTTCCGTCTGCGGAGAAGCGGATTTCAGAGGCAATCACTGATGCTCGCTGTTACAAAGTACTTCGTGCAAATGAAGTTGAATTTGAGATTGTCTCGACTGAGCGGACTAACATTGTGGATATAAGGAGTCGAATCTGCTCATGTCACCGTTGGCAACTCTATGGTCTCCCATGTGCACATGCTGCTGCTGCACTCACCTCTTGTGGGCAAAATGCCCATTTATTTGCGGAGCACTGTTTCACTGTGCACAGTTACTGTGAGACCTATTCACAGCTGATATATCCCATCCCCGATAAAAGCCTTTGGAAGGAGCCTGGTGAAGGAACTGATGGTGGAGGTGCAAAAGTTGATATCACAATTCGTCCACCTAAAATTCGTAGGCCTCCAGGAAGACCCAAAAAAAAAGTTCTTCGCATGGAGAGTTTAAAACGCCCGAAGAGAGTCGTTCAATGTGGTCGCTGCCATATGCTAGGACATTCTCAAAAGAAATGCACATTGCCAATTTGATCCTCACATTGTGTTCTTGTAAGCATGATTTAACGACGTGTACTTGTTAAATGTCAGGATACTAGCTTCAGTGGCATAGTTTCACCTGTTCTTTGTTGTGATCCTTGTAATCATATGACTATAAACTTAGTTGTCTTCTCATTGTTTAATTGCTCAAGTTCCTTCCATCTCATCTTTGTACAGCTATTTATCTTGTCTACTGATTTTGGCTGTCTCAGAAATTCCTGTTTTCTACTGAATGCGAGTGATGCAGAAGTAACACAGAAATCTCGCTCCACGCTCTTCATTAGAGGTGAGGAGCAAAACCGAAGCCTTTCTCCCGGAATCTTGACTAAAATGCTGTATATTCTTCATTAGTATTACATACAAGAAGCGTATATTTGAATAGAGACTGCCAAAAAAAAAAAAAAAATTAAAATTCTTGACAGTAAGTTCGAGGAATTAATGAACTCCTAATATTTCCAATGTTCATTTAAACCAGCAACTAAGCGAATACGCAAAAAACTCTATCTATATAATTCATTTTGTCAGTGTTTTTTTACGACAGACAATAGGTGTGAGTGTGAACTAATTTGCACAATCCTTGTTGCTAACCGCTTCACAAGGCTTTTGAATTTCTCCACAGCCTCGCATAGTCTGCAGGGTAAAGTGTCTAAGCTAGCTGCTCGGGTTCTTCTATAATTACCCAACACACCACATCTCCTCCACGCTTGATATTCTGCATAAGCTACTGGATCATTAGCTAGAGCCTTGACATAAATAGCCAATTCCTCCATAGAACCAAATTGCTTCCCGTCTATAATGGAATGAGGAGGTACGAAGTCCTAAACGTTCGGGGCGCCAAAATATATGGGAAACGCTCCATAATCCAGTGCATAAAATAGTTTCTCCGCCACATAACTATCAGTCATCGTGTTTTCAATTGCAAGGACAAACTTATAATGGGACATGGCACAATGTATTGGCACAATGTAAATGATCCCACCATTTAGGAGATTCGTTAGCATCCTTCATGCATTTGGGATAGAGGGAGAGTGCCTGGTCGAGGCCTCCAACATTGTTCAAGAACTTTCCAAACGAGTGGTGGGGCAGCAACCTGAGAAGGCTTTTCGCAAGCTGGTTTCTTTGAGGAGGAAGAGTATCCTAAAATATCAGAATTTTAATTAGTTACATTATTTACGTACAATAGCTTAATGGAAATCACACAATTGCTCAAGTAGCAAGTTGGTTCCCAACCTTTAAAAAGAAACAAGTTGGTTCTCAACCTTTTACTACAGTTCCACAATCAGTTCCCTACAACAGGTAAGTCCGAAAAACTCAGTTAAATAGTCATATCTCATGGAAACATAGCCCACTTCAACGGTCTATAGAGAGATTCCGGAAAAAAAAAAAAAAGTACCAACGCAACATCGAAAGAAAAAGCAATCAACTATATGCTTAACTCATGCCCCCAAGAATCCCTGGATACAGGGGAAGGAGCTAATCTTTTACTAGAGGGAAAGCTGGGGAAAAGCATAGAGCATGAACCTTTCATAACTAAGACTTGGACAGTTTGTGCAAATATAATCAATGTTCAAGACCAACTTGCTACTCCGGCAATAGGTTATGGACTAGTAGTGCAATTTTCCCCAATTTCATACAGTTTCACTGTATTGACTGACTACATAACGTAAAAGAAATATAATCACAATGAACAATAGGGAGCGCTTACATTGTTCTTAACAGAAGATAAATGATAATTTCGGTTGTTATGAAAGAGTGCCCCAGCATATGTAGACTGCACATCATCTTTGGCATGATAACTAATAAAAATGTCCTCATGACCTGACCTCATCCTGCTAGGTTCAAGATCCATATATACACGTAGCGGATCTCCAGCACGCCTCTGCCAAACAATGTTACCAGCGTATGTAGACTGCACATCATCTTTGGCATGATAACTAATAAAAATGTCCTCATGACCTGACCTCATCCTGCCAGGTTCAAGATCCATATATACACGTAGCGGATCTCCAGCACGCCTCTGCCAAACAATGTTACCGACTGAACGATGTTATATTGAAAATTGACTGCACGTGATGGTGTAGCAAGGGGACGTGAAACAGTTTTTTACACCATGTAGCTAGATAGGTTTTGTTTGTAACACAAAAGTGTTCAACAAACTAGAACTTGCAGTTGATGAAAACACTTGTATTGTACTATTCTGCATATGCCTTACCGCTCAACATTTTATTATGTATACAAACTGGATTAAGAAAGAAAAAAAATTTACTTCTGGCATTAAAATACACATAATGCCTGCTTACAGACAAGAAGCATGAATTAATAACATCAAACTGAATCAGAATGAATTTTATTTAAACAGTGGTATATCAGATTTCTTATCATTAAAAATAAAAGGTAAATGACAAATACGGCCTGATTACACAACTTTTTTATTGTTCAGTGAAGAATTCACGTTGAGAAAGGCCTTCAAGGAACAAATTGTCTGGCCATATCTGGCAGTTTTATCGACTATGCTATTTTCCCAATTCTACAGGAAGTATATGAGCAACTGACATGAACAAGTATCAAGATGTACACATAATCTCCAACAATAGTCAAAAGATAAACAGCACTGAATTGCGTATGCATTTCTACTTTTTCATGCCTCCATTACCAGCCTTTTTATAGAAGGAAACAACAATCACTCACTGTAAATAATTTATCATTATGTAAATTAAGTATATTGCCTAATTCTAGAATTAGAATAATGTGTGATTAGCTATTGATTGGAGGAATTAGAAATCTGCTGTGATTCGTAATTGTAGGTGATTTACTCCATGACAATTGTATATATATATTTACCTCTTGGAATTAATGAATCATCAAGCAATTGCTTCAATATTCACTTTATGGTATCAGAGCACCGATCGTAAGCCAATCTTTCTCTCCCTCACGCTTGATCCCAGAAAACACCTTCAGCACACTTTTATTTTCTTCTTCAAACAATGGCCTCAACAGATCACTCACATACTGCCACCTCTCAACCAGTTATTCCAAATTCTCCTGAACCTCATCGTCCTCTTATTGCCATAAACATCTCCTCCCATTCCACCATAAAGCTCACACCCACAAATTATCTCTCATGGAAATTACAATTTCAAGCAACCCTGATAGGCTATAATCTTGAAGGATATATTGATGGCTCAATTAATGCACCAGCTTCCACCATTACCACTGATGGCACCAAGTTACCAAATCCAGCATTTCAAACATGGCATCGACAGGATAAATTAATCTTCAGCGCCATGGTCGGATCATTGTCTGCTGCAATTGTTCCACTCCTAAACCGTGCTACCACCTCTCGTGATGCCTGGCTGATTCTTGAAAACACATATGCAAAGCCCACTCGTGGTCACATCAAGCAAATTAAGGAGCAACTAAAGAATCCAATCAAAGGCTCCCGTACCATCAGTGAATATATGCAATATATTCGGAGTCGTGCCGATGAGCTTGCAATTCTGGGCAAACCATATGATGAAGAGGACTTGATTGAAAAAGTCCTTGATGGTCTTGATGAGGAATACAAATCTATTGTTGAAGCCGTCAACGCTCGAGACACGACAATTTCATTTGATGAGCTTCATGAAAAACTCCTGAACAAGGAAACAACATTGCGTCAATCCCAACCACCACAGCCAGCATCCCTTCCAGCAACAGCAAATCCAACATCAGTAAATCCTCGAAACAAACCATGGCGTCCTCACTTCAACTCATCAACTCAACCATCACCAAATCAATGGTCATCCTCTAACAATTCTCGGACTGACAGACCTCCACCACGTCCTTATCTTGGAACATGTCAAGCTTGCAACACTCAAGGGCACACAGCCAAACGATACACACAATTTCGTTTAATCTCCACTCAACCCAATTCAGGCTATTCCCCAACAGCCCCACGTTCATCAGGTTTTCGACCAACAAGTCCACAGTCATCATCTCCTTGGCAACCACGAGTCAACTATACAACAACTGGCACATCCAACACCCCATCTTGGCTCCTTGACAGTGGTGCATCTCACCATGTCACCACTGACCTGGCTAATCTCTCTCTTCATGCACCGTACGATGCTCATGATGATGTTATGATTGGCGATGGGACGGGTCTTCAAATCACCCACACTGGTTCTATTTCTCTTCCTTCCTCCACACGAAATTTTCAATTAAATAATGTCTTGTGTGTTCCTACCATGAAAAAGAATCTCATTTCCATTTCTCAAATGTGCCTCACTAATAATGTTTCTATTGAATTTTTACCTTCTGGTTTTCTGGTGAAGGACTTAAGCACAGGAGCAACACTTTTGAAGGGACCAACTAAGGATGGAGTGTATGAGTGGCCAACCTCTTCAACATCCAAACCTCCTCTTGTTCTCTTCTCCAGTATCAAGACATCAACTGCTGAGTGGCACAATCGCCTAGGCCACCCTGCCTCTCCAATTTACAACCATGTCATTTCTAAATTTCAATTATCAGTTTCTGTCTCCACAACAAATAATCATTGCAATGCTTGCAGTTGTAATAAAAGTCATAAGCTACCATTCTCTATTTCTTCTCTTGTCTCTACAAAACCTCTTGAAATAATTTTCTCTGATGTTTGGACCTCTTCTGTGCATTCATATGATGACTTCAAATACTATATCATTTTTGTTGATCACTTCACCAAATATGTTTGGTATTATCCGCTTAAGCGTAAATCTCATGTCTATGATGTCTTCATTCGATTCAAAGCACTTGTAGAAAATTATTTCAATCACAGAATTAAAACCCTATACTCTGATAATGGAGGGGAATATCAAGCTCTTAACTCATTTTTAGCTACAAATGGCATCACTCATTTAACCACTCCACCACATACACCTGAACATAATGGATATTCTGAAAGACGACATCGTCACATTGTAGAAACTGGTCTCTCTCTACTCATGCATGCCTCCATTCCTCTAATCTACTGGAATCATGCCTTTGCTACAGCAGTATACCTCATCAATCGGCTTCCTACACCCACACTCAACATGTTCTCACCATTCGAAAAAATCTTTGGCACCACTCCCAACTACTCTAAACTTAAAACCTTTGGGTGTCTTTGTTATCCTTGGATTCGACCATACAACAATCACAAACTTGAAGCTCGATCCGTTCCTTGTGCCTTTCTTGGCTACTCTTCCACCCAAAGTGCATATATGTGTCTTGATACCAACACATCTCGCCTTTATATTTCTCGTCATGTCAATTTCGTCGAATCAATATTCCCCTTCCAATCTACTCAAACTCATCTCAATCGTCCCGAGTCAACCACTATATCTCACTGGTTACCACCTGCCTACATCATTTCCACAGATTCTCCCACAGCCACAACACTCACTACTTCATCGGTAGAAGGTCTCTCGAATGCTGCTCCTGTACGAATGACATCGACACCAGAAACTCCAACCACTCTTGCCCAATCTTTGGTGGACCAATCTACCTCAACCGACCAACCAACCTCCACCCGAGACCAAATCTTGACACCTTCTTCATCCATTCCCACCCCAGAACAATACTCAGCACCCACGACATCCAACCATCTCGACCTAACTAACACACATTCCATGACCACAAGAGCCAAAAATCATATCCATAAACCGATCCAAAAGCTCAACCTTACTGCTCAACTAATCTCATCTGATGAACTAGAACCAACAACAGTTACCCAGGCCCTAAAAGACACCAAATGGCGTCTTGCAATGTCTGAAGAGTATGATGCTCTTGTTCGAAATGGTACATGGGAGCTTGTTCCACCCAATCAAGTCCACAATCTTGTTGGATGTAAATGGATTTTTCGCACTAAACGTCTACCAGATGGTTCTGTTGATAGATACAAAGCACGTTTAGTAGCAAAGGGTTTCCATCAGCGTCCAGGTATTGACTACCATGACACTTTCAGTCCAGTTATCAAACCAACAACGATTCGTCTAGTTCTCACCATTGCAATCAGTCGTGGATGGTCGCTACGACAACTTGACATCAACAATGCCTTTTTACAAGGTCATCTCACTGAAGACGTCTTCATGGTACAACCTCCAGGCTTTATTGATAGTGACTTTCCAAATCATGTGTGCAAATTGCACAAAGCCATCTATGGCTTGAAACAAGCCCCAAGGGCATGGTATCATGAGTTGCGACAATATCTACTCTCCGCAGGCTTCAAAAACTCCCGTGCGGATACTTCTCTGTTCGTCTTCAACAATACACATACCATGATCTACCTGCTAGTATATGTAGATGACATCATCATCACAGGGAACAACAACTCCATAGTGCAACATTTTATTACTCAACTTGCAGCTCGCTTCTCTTTAAAGGATCTTGGTAGTCTCTCATACTTTCTGGGTGTTGAGGTTCTTCCACACAAGCTTGGTCTCCTTCTCTCGCAACGTCGCTACATTCAAGATCTTCTCACCCGCACTAACATGACCGATGCTAAACCAGTACTTACCCCTCTAGGAACAGATCAAACTCTGAGCCTTCACAACGGCACCACCCTAACAGATGCTTCTGAGTACCGAACAATTGTTGGTAGTCTTCAGTACTTAACTCTCACAAGGCCTGATATTGCATTTGCCGTAAATAAGCTCTCTCAGTTCATGCACCGTCCCACGACAGATCACTGGAATGCTACTAAACGCCTGTTACGATACCTTCGTGGCACATCTGATCATGGCATCGTACTTCATTGCGCCCCAACACTATCTCTCCAAGCCTTCTCCGATTCCGATTGGGCGGGAAACAAAGATGACTACACATCAACCAGTNAGAACTTGCAGTTGATGAAAACACTTGTATTGTACTATTCTGCATATGCCTTACCGCTCAACATTTTATTATGTATACAAACTGGATTAAGAAAGAAAAAAAATTTACTTCTGGCATTAAAATACACATAATGCCTGCTTACAGACAAGAAGCATGAACTAATAACATCAAACTGAATCAGAATGAATTTTATTTAAACAGTGGTATATCAGATTTCTTATCATTAAAAATAAAAGGTAAATGACAAATACGGCCTGATTACACAACTTTTTTATTGTTCAGCGAAGAATTCACGTTGAGAAAGGCCTTCAAGGAACAATTGTCTGGCCATATCTGGCAGTTTTATCGACTATGCTATTTTCCCAATTCTACAGGAAGTATATGAGCAACTGACATGAACAAGTATCAAGATGTACACATAATCTCCAATAATAGTCAAAAGATAAACAGCACTGAATTGCGTATGCCTTTCTACTTTTTCATGCCTCCATTACCAGCCTTTTGTCCAACGAAATTTGAAGTTGATAACAAAGAAACAATCGAAAATCGTATCAGCTGATTACGTAAACAAATCAGTGTACTGAGACAAAAATATTTATGGCCATAACATTTCAAGAATTCAGGTTTTCCAAGCGCAAGAAAGTATAGAACGATCCACAAGTGAGACAAAAACATCCTAACCCACAGATAAAATGATTTTCTTTTTTTTCTTCACTCTTGGTTCTTTCTCATTTACACGATACGAACTAAATTAAAAATTTATCGCAAACAGAATAAGTATTAAGCCATTGGTGAACGGTGATCTTTCCTAAGTAAATAGGCTGGAGAAGCAATTCTCGAAAAATATATCTAAGAGTAATCTGGCAATGACAATATAATTTTGGTTCTTGCTGTTAAATATATATTAATCTCTGGTTTCAAACTAAATAAAGTTTGTTCAATCCCTATATCAAATAATAAATCAACATAATCATAGGATACCTCCTTATTTAGGGACTATTCTCAAACAGAATAAGCCCTTGTTTGGCCCCCATTAAATTAAATTACATTACATTAAATTTTTTTTTTCTCTTCATTACAACTACACATTCATCAAATAAAATAATATTACACACAAATCTAAAACTTTTCATTATTTTTTCACCACATATTCTCCCATCAATCACTATTCCAAAAATTTTCAACTATAAAAAATGCCAAATAATGGGGCCAAACAAGGGATAAGTATTAAGCCATTAGTGTCTAATCTTTGATTGTTTGGATCTTTTGCCATCACTTTGGTAGATCTTGGATTCTAATTTTATTTTTTGGCATGATTAGACTACACCGTAGTAAGAAAAAAAAGAGTTTCGATCTTATTCGTTGTCAAGTGATGATCAAGTACAATATGCCAACATGTAGTTGTTAACTGCTAAGAGTATCCTTAAGAGACTTTAAATAAAAAACGCTCTTTATTTTAGAGAGTCAACACTTAAAAATGAGTTCCAAAAAACTCTATTTGAAATAGAGAGTGGGTTTGACTCCACTCTCTATTTTTAATGTACAATGATTTGCATTTTATAAATCACATATTTTAATACACTATTTTTTAAATTGTTCAAATCACATTTAAATTGATTGGTCAACTGACATAAAAAAAAATATGTTAAAACAAAATATGAAGAGAAATCAGTAAATGTTTCTTGAGAAAAAGCAAAATGAAGAGTTAAAATAGAGAGCTCATTTGAGTGTATAAAAAAGTAGACCGGCTAAATTTAATGATGTTCTTTATAAATAAAGAGTCTATTGAAAATGCCCTAAGAATATCTGCAAGAGTTAGTACTTAAAAATAAGATTCGAGAGATTCTCCATCTTAACTCTTTAAAATTAAAATAGAAAGTGAGTGTCTATAAAAATTTAGAGGGTTAAATTTACCCTCTATTCTTAATGTTTAATGATTGCATTTAATAAATCACATATTTCAATATTTTACTTCTTAAACTATCCAAATCAAATTTAAATTGATGGACCACTGACATATAAAAAATTATGATATATTATAATATGAGGAGAAATCTATAAATGTTTATTAAGAAAAGCAAAATAAAGAGTAAAATAGAGAACATTGTTGGATTGTATAAAAATATTGACTCTAAGAGTGTGTTTGAGAGCAATTTTTGTGAGATTTTAATCAAAATTATAGTCGTTATAGTCAACCTGTGGGCCCCACTCGTGAGAGGGAAAGTAAAAAATGATGGCTGATTTGATAGTTAACGACTAGAATTTTGATTAAAATTTCTCCCAAACAGGGCCTAAATTTAAAAATAATTTCTATAACATGTAAGAGACTCTTTACGGGTAAAGAATCTCTTCGAAATGTTTTTAACTCCGAAAATGCAATCCTTCAGTTGGAGCTCTCGAGCAGGGTTGGTGCTGGTTCTCTCCGACAATTGGCCGTGGAGGAATTGCTTAGTCACTTCCAATGAGCTTGGCAACTCAACATGTCCTAGTTGTCATGGGCCATGTCAGGATTGTACTTCAATGGGAAGTAATTCAAATAAAAAATCTTAAAAAAGTAAGAAGACAAAAACAATATGTTTTTCAATAGTTGTTTAATGATTATATCCTTATTTCGAATAAATATTTTTCACACTATAACACCTTTTTCGCACTTAGACAAAAGCATTTTTTTTTCAAACGTAAGTAAATCAAAATCACTCCTAATGGGTGCTGTTACATAAATAACTTATGGAAGATTTCAATATCTTATCATTAATTAATAGAAAGTGCTTCCTCGTCCAAGATGATTAAAGCACTTTGCTCACACGAATCACCTAATACTTGGAGTATTAGACACGTCTTGTTCTTATTTAATCATATGACTTCACTCAATGTGCTTGGACTTGATAGACGTCATCATAATCGTCGTTGTCAACTTCTTAAGCAATGCATTACTCAATGAATAATCACTCTGTGAAACAATTAATAATGCTAAGTAATCGGTCATTGAAGAAAATGTTTAAGGTAAAATTAAAGACAAGAACCCAAACTTTTTTTATTTAGAATTATTGTCTCCTCCACGTTTTCCAAGTCAGTATTCAACCTTTCACACTACAAAACTCTTTAGCCACCTTATCTACCTTCCACTGACATACAATTCATAAAGAAAAGTACCAAAAAGAAATTAAATAAATTGTGCCAAATAAGCGTTAAATTATAAATAGATAAAAAATGATTAGTATTATTCGTGGATTTCATAAAATATATAAAAATCGATTTGGAAATTTATAAACATGAGCCAAACATTGAAGGTAAGTAATATGTGTTTGACTTTCACATAAAATGATAAAAGAAAAGGTGACTTCAAATTATTAGTAATTGACTACTAATCCATTTCCATTATCCTCCATGTGCCAGATATTGAAACACAGATGACAAACTGTCAAGTATCCAATAAGAACGAAGAAGTGTGTGTGTGGCTGTGGATACAGCAAATTCAAATCACGAAGACAGCTAAATTGTACTGTATTTCATTCCTTACAATTAGACCCCACGAGTGACCTTTAGCTTCTGCTATATTTATTCGTTTTTTTCTTCAGGTCCCCACCTGCCACCACCCCACTTGGACCCCCCACCCCACAATCGCACACTGATTCTCTTTAGCTTTTTGTTGGATCCCACAGTTACTCTCTAGTTCTATCACAAACACAGAGAGAGATTCTCTCTCTAAAGACAGCAGTCAACCACTGAGGAAGAAGGAGAGAAAGAACCATACCCTACCCCCACCCCACTACTTCCACTTGTTCAGTTGGCTAAGAAAAGCTTCATCACTAAGATTCATCAATTAACAATTGGAATTCGACCATGTTTGGAGTTTCAAGAAAATTCACTTGAAAATCTTCACTTCCACAGAGGATGGAATTTAGGGAGCCACATGGCAAAACCCAGGGAAGTGGCAGTGGTTCGGACCATCATGCCCCAAATCAAGAACCATCTTCTCTCCAACTAGTTTCTCTTCACCACCAAAGTCAACCTGAACCTAACCCTGGGTCCGGCCAGGCCCCAGCCCATGGTCCCTTCATGGGCTCCATCTCCATGCAATCAAGAACCAGCTTAGGTTTATCCTCTTCTACCACCACCACCACCCCCCCTACGACCTCCGCCGTGAACAATAAAGTGGCCAAAAAGCCATCGAAAGATCGCCACACGAAAGTGGACGGCCGGGGGCGGCGCATCCGCATGCCGGCCTTATGTGCAGCTAGGGTTTTCCAGCTGACAAGAGAATTAGGCCATAAATCGGATGGTGAGACGATAGAGTGGCTTTTGCACCATGCTGAACCGTCAATTATAGCTGCCACTGGTACAGGTACAATTCCGGCTAATTTCTCCACCCTCAACGTGTCTTTACGCAGCAGTGGCACCACCATTTCAGCTCCACCGTCCAAGTCTGCTCCTCTCTTCCTCGGAGGCTCCACCGGGATGCTAGGGTTCCACAACCAGCTATCTTCCAACACCGGGTTTGGGCAAGATCCGGAGGAGAATTACATGAAAAAGCGGTTCAGAGAAGATAGCAGTGGGGCAGCTTCACCTACAGCTTCTAAACTGGGGAGATCAGGGGTGCAAGATCAAGAACCGGGTTCAGAACAAAAACCCAGTTCAACACAGCCGTCCAATTTCCTCCCGGCTCCCGCCATGTGGGCGATGGCTCCGGCTGCCACCAACGTAGGCAACGCCTTCTGGATGCTGCCTGTGACGGGAGGAGCCACCACGACCACGGTGGGTCCAGGGCAGCAAGAGCACCAGTTATGGCAGTACAAGGCATCTCCCATGCAGAGAATTGGTGGCTTCGAGTTCCCAAGTGGCGGCCGGTTCAGCCCTGTTCAGCTTGGTTCTATGGTGTTACAGCAGCCACCGCCACCGGTTCAGCAGCTCGGACTCGGCGTGCCCGACACTAGTAACATGGGAATAATGGCCACCATTAATGCATATAGTAATAGTAGGATTGATTTAGGCATGAATTTGGAGCAGCATCACCATCATCAAAATCAGCCACAAGGCAGCGATAGTGGCGATGAAAATTCCAAAGATTCTCAATAATGTCCGTATTAATGAATTATCAGAATGTCCCGACTGGACAAATAGAATCATCAAATTTCAATATTGCAAATTTTCTGCATTTTCTGGTTGTAGAATTCTTACCTTTTTCATAGGTGAAAGTTTCAGATTGGTGCGAATAATTTTTTCTTGTTAATTATTTGTTTTCGTCCTTTGAATTGGTTGTTGTATGAATATGTAAAACTGAATTCATTCTGCAGCAATAATCATCTTCAAACTTTCCTCTTATAACCCTGGGCAAAATCCCTACATATAGCAGCTCTCCTTGTATAAAACATATTTATTTGACTAAATAATAATTATTTCCTACATACCTCATAATTTCTTCATTCATAATTACGTTTATTTCTATATATAATATCTACCATATTAACATTTTAATTAAACCCAATTATTTTAAAATTTCTCAAATTAATTAATATCTATTTGTTTAAATTACACACAAAAAGTGCTACTTCTATTATGTATTTTAACCAATAATGCTGTGTGTACTGATACTCGGATGTACACGTAGCAAAATTGTATTTTAACATACAACTTATATTTGTTTCATGAAGTAATGCTAATAACTATTTTAAATGACAAATAATGATAAATATTAAGTTATAAACCTTTACAATATTAATTGATATTATTAGGAGTTTAATATATAAGCACTTATTGACTTTAATCAATTGTGTGTGTGTGTGTGTGTGTATAGCACTCATTGACATTAACTAATTGCTTAAATTGTCACCCTGTGTTTAGCACAAAGTGGAGAGAATAATTCCAACGGAATTAAGCTGTTAATCCACCAAACGCATTGGAAAATATTTTTTGGAAGAATAGTCACATTTATGTAACACATTTAAAGCCAATTGTGAATTTATGTCATTTCTCTGTCACCAATACATACATAGCCCATGTTTGGGTTCCTTTTAAATTAATTTTTAAGAAAAAATGTTTTTTGAAATAGTGGTTTTTTTGAATAATGTATAGTTTAAAAAAAAAAAAGAAAAAATTTGAAATTTACACGTAATATTATCTTATTGAAGAATGTGTGATTTAAAAAAAAGAAAAATATATTAAAATTTTAATGCAATCCAAATGGGGGCATAAATACGTATACATGTATGTACAGGTCTTTGTCACATGTCAATGATATCCAAACAAAAACCAGAATAATTTAATCAATAATTGAAGGAGCCCCAATAAGTGATTCAGTGTTCCACTTGCACAATTTTTTATAGTGCTTCAGAAGTCTTGAACTTATGTTTAATATTGAAATATTTTGCGTTACGATATCGAAAAAATAGCATTTCAATTTGTACGTGAACACAAAACTTTGATATAGTAGTAGAAATGGTATAATCAAATATGATCTTCTGTAAATTGACAACTCGAAACTTAGGGGTCGTGAGACAAAGCTTTTGATAAAACTTTTAACAAATTTAAGTTGATAGAAATTGATGAAATGTCTGGTTAAAAAATTGTGGATCAAATAAAATATCACGTTAAAAAAAAAGGGTTTAACAAAGATTTATCAATCAATCACAGCTAGAAAAGTGTGGCACTTTATTGGCCAATAATAATTGGTTATTACAGAGAACTTGCAGGTTCCAATTAAGACTAGCGCATTTGATTTATTTTAAAATTAATGGTTGATGATCACATGATCCATGATGAAGGTCTACTTTAATTTATATAATGCACTAGGAATTTAAAATAATATTGTGATTATTGCTATATCATATTAAAATGATATAATTTAAGGTTAGGAGTATCTAATTCAACACTCCACGCCTAGCTTTTACAATTCAATAGTTAATCGCTTCTTGTCCATTATTATTGTCTAATAGAAAAAAATAGCAATGTCGTTAGAACATGTTAACCTGGGAAATTGAAAAGTTTAGAACGATTACGAAAAGAAGTCAAGAATCCACCAATTTACACCTTGTGTTCTGATATGTTATGCAAAGATCAAACATAAATATATAGATCGAAGAATCTCAAACCCTATTACAATCGAACCACCCTAATACATCAATCTATACACAATAACTACTGAACATCGAATGCTTTACAGAAAATAGGCTCAGAACATCAATCCAAAACTCATTCGACACTGTCAGACCCAGATTTACACAGAACCCCCCCACAGTCAACCAAGTAAACACTAAATTACTACCATGAGACTGAAGGATTCACACTACCAACAAAGAGGCCCTACGAATATACTGATTTCACAAAGAAAACAACTCAAGAAATGAATTCCTGAATAAACTTCACACAGAAGAAGATGAAAGAAGAGAGTGCACTCAAAAGTCTTCAGAAGGATAATCAATTGAAACTCTTGGAAACCCTCAAAATATCAAGATCTCGAGATGGAGTAGATCTAATCCAACGGCTCAGAGCAGCCGAAGCTTTAACTTAGTTTGGACCAGGTATGGGCCTGGTGTCACTGGGTTAACTTCAGGCAGTATTAAGTTATACTGAAATAGGCTGAATGTCAATCATCATCTCCTTAAGTGGGCTGGACTATGGTATCACAACCTCACAATCTCCTCCTAAACTGAATATTCAATGAGACTATTCTTTTCCAAAGGGCTAAAT